GTCATAATATACAGAAAACACAAAAGGAAAAAAAGTATCTGCAATCCAACAGCCAATAAAAGTCTTAATTCTTTATTTAGAATTGAAACACTAACAAAACTTGGACTGCATTTAATGGATATTTTTTTATAAGCTGTAAATCTTGTTTATACTTGAGAATTTAACTTACAGTATAGCAATCTAACTCCTTGGAGTGGAAAAAAAACATCACATTTGAAAGATCCAAGATCTGGATGTTACTAATATTACTAAGAATACTGCATTTCATAGCAAAGAAAGAAACAACTTTTTATGCCAGTTTTTTTTTAATTAGTCCCTATTGCACAATCTTCAATAACATTTCTGGTCAAAAGCAAATAAAATTCTAAGATACCTGTTTTTTGTTCCAAAAATGTTGATGCTGGGATAAAAAATGACTTCTGGGATAAGTTCAGCACTTTTTGGCAATTATTTCTACTTTTAGGGGCCAACCAAATATTGTTCCATGAGTACAATGGTCACTGAGAGTAAAATAATACTTAAGAGTTCATTTAAATTCATTTTGTTATATTTTATGTTTGGAATCATAATAACTACACTATTATGAAATATTTATTGCTTTTCCTAAAAGCTTTACCAAAATAGATGGCTTGTTAAATGTCAAAGAGGAATGGTTGAGTAACATTTGTCAGCAACTTATGTTTGGTATTGTCAAGATAAGCAGTCCATTTTTTCCCCAACAAAAAATTCAAATAAAGATAACTGGAAAAAGGTAAGAATGGAAAAGGAAAGTAACTTTATAATATTTTTCTTTCATAAAATTCTCATTTATGTTTGAGTTATCAGTCTGGATAACGTTTTTACCCTGAAACACAAATATGAATTTGCAATAGAAATTCTGTTACACAGACGAAAGTAAAATGTTATGCCACAGGTCTACAAAATTTTTGGGTGCACAATAACTTATTTTGCATTTGCCTCCTATGATAAAAAAGAAAGGAAAACACATTTTCATCAAAAGAAATATCAAATACAGGGCATTTGGTTTTTTTATTGTTCTTTTTACCTTGTTTGTATACCTTTACTTGTTCTGAATAGAATGATCTTGGAAAAGGTCAATGCCTTAGGAGGAGAGAAGTCACAGGCTCATACTCCTACAGTAGGGAGTCATTCTGGACTGCATCAAGCACCTCATTTTTATTGTAATCCTTCATTTATGATGCAACCCAGGCAGATTCCCCAGTGCTGTAAGAGTTTTAAATGTGATCTGGAGCGGGATTGTCATGGCTGAATGTGTATTAATCATTTTCAGACTTTAGTCTGGCATTGAGTGTTCTGAGTTTGAAGAAAATCTTAGTTGAGCTTCTTTTATCTCTTGATGACAGATTAATGATGGCAAATTTGGAATGATGGATGCAATTTAAGAATTTTAAAATAAAAATAAGCTTACCATACTGTATATGTACAGTAAACATCAAATGCTACATGGTCGAGTTGTGATGACAGAATAAGGATGCACTGGATCATTTGCTTAAGATGTGGGAATTTGGAAATGTTTTCAGATCAAAACATTAGCGGGTCTGTAGACATTTCTCCAATTCATTTTCCAATTTCATGGGCCCAAGGACTTTCTGGGTGTCTGTTGGCCAAAATCTAACCTTGGCTGACCATCTGAAAGCTGACAAAGCCATTTGCTGACTATGTAAGTAACATCTGTGGTGGAACTGAATTTCAGAAATTCCTCACGATTAAAAAAAAAAACATAATATGATTTTAATGTTAGAATGTGATATTTGGTTTAGCTGTGTAATTGAAAAGCATCTTTCAGTTTCTAATTATTAGTAGCTGGAGGTCAGTATAACCTTCAGTTCAATTCAACTTTCAATTCTAAAATTACAAAGTAAAGTAGAACCCCTCAGTGATACAATTCTATAATACATCACATTTCTCATCAAATTTCATATAACTTCTTGAATTTTAGTTTTTTTTTATTATTTTTTAACTATTGAATTATGGTGGAGGAAACCCACATTATTTCAAGAATTTAAACAGTATATGTCTGGCTGGAGAACAAAATAATCTGATATTGAAGTCATTGTCTGAGTAGGAAATGTTCACAATCATCCATTTCTAATTACTTACAGTTCATGCCATTAAAAATGAGCAAGAAAAATGAAATGTAAATCATCTACCATTTTTTTTTAAAACAAGTGCTGTCACTCTGTTTTATATCAATACAAACATTTTGGCAAGCATTACAGTGTTTTAAAAACAAAAGAAAAACACAATTGCAGTGTAATGCTACTTAAATAATAGGTATCATTAAATGTAAATTAATTCTTCTTCATCAAATTACTTTTTGTGATTATACAGTATACAGATCATTTTTTAAATCAGGCTGAACTCACTGCTATAAATCTTAAGCACCAAAATTGTTTAAGTAATTAAAAAGACACCCAGTCTATTTTCCAAGCCTACAAGTATGTTTAATCTCACTGCATCATTGAAGCTGGATAGTTTTTAACAGCAAATGGGCAACACAGTTTTCTTTGAGGTAAGATTTTTTAACATCATTACATTGTTTCAGAAAATGTACTACATTTTGGCTACTTTTTAACAATAATTTGAAGACAATGCATTTGCTATTTTAAAGGGATTTTACTAAATTCAAAAACAATAAAAAAAATCTAAAAGAGTTGTGATTTCTGTTAAAAAATCTGTTGCAAGAAAGTTTTGGTATTTATTAGCATGTATTGTCATTGTTTCTGCATGTTTTTGTGGATGACCTGAAAGTTATACAGTCTTGGCTTTCCTGTGGATACATATCTACATAATCGTATTTTGAGAATAAATTGCAAGGATTGGTAATAACACAATAAAATAATTCTGATATAAATTATATTTGCATATAAAAATTTAAAACATTAAAACATATGAAAGTTTACATTAGAGAGGACCCCTAACTTATTTGTTTGCAAATACGTCATTGACACAGTTCCTAAGGGAAGTTAGGGTATCCCTTCTTAAACATACCTGTAGCTTGTTCCAAAATCCTACAGTACAATTCTTTATGTAAAAAGCACCTCCTAGTCTTACAGTTCAGTTTTAAATACCTTTCTTATTAGTTTCTATTTGTGTGGAAATGGGCAACAATAATTGTGGAGGAAGGATCTACAATCAAAAACATTAAAATTAGAATTGATGAATGAAGAATATTGCTTAAGTGGATATACTTATTTAATGCAGCCAAAATATGTTATAAGTGTGCTACAGACCACCACATTCAAAAATAATTTATTATACAATCTTAAACATTGAAATATGAAACATGTAAAGAAATAAGTGGTTCTGATGGACGATTTTAATTTTCCATTTATGGACTGGGGGAAAAAAAAACATGTTCACAACTGAAACTGAAATAACATACAGTACTATACAGTATGCGGCTTATGATTGCTCTCTGACTCACTTTGCCAGAGTACTGTACCTATTAGAGTGGCTGACCATATTGATCTAGCCTTTTCAAACAATCAGTGATAATAATCTGCTTTTTTCTGTCCAGTCCTAAATTTCTTTTTTTTATATTATTCTGCAGTGCATAGTGGTCCTTCTATTTTGGTATTACCTGACTAGTTTACAAAATATGACAGAATATAGGCCATTTTTATAATATAGATTCTTGTGGTCCTCCATTGTTGTTACAGTACCCCCAATTTGATCACTGTCGTCTTATCTGTACTCTGTCTACCTCTTAGTCATTTTTCTATCCAAACTCATGCATTACTTGAATTCCTGGAGTCTTTTATGTGAAACAGCAATCTCTGCTGCTTTACAAACTCTCCTTAAGAGTACACTTCTTGTGTCCTATGCTGTCTCCTGGTCATGTGTTGCATATTATGCCATGCATATTTGATTGGTAATTTGACCACAGAATGAACCCTATTGGCTGATGTAAAACTGCCAACCAAATCTAAACTGCATATCTTTGGGTGTTGGAAGAAAACCACACTATTCAAAAGCCCACACAAATACAAGAAAAATGTGAAAGCTCCCTACAGACAAATACCCAAAGTTGCAATAGAACTCAGGAGCCTGGAGGAGATGTCATGCCACTGTGCCAACCAGTACTTTTCATACACAAGGTCTACATACAGTACACTATCCAGACAGTTCAAACTATTTATATACTGTGCTTCAAAGTTTACAATATGACACACAGATGTATACTGCTGAAATACAGTACGACCATACTACATGTAGTACAACTACCCTGTTGAACTAGAACTTGAGTAACAATCCAATGGAAAGAAAAATTCTCGATAATTAAAAAAACGTCTTTACTAAAAAGTATGCATAATCAAATCTCTTTTTTACTAACCTAGACATCTCATTCAAGAAATATTTAATGTGAATGCTTCAGAAATACAGTCGAAATGTAGTAATAGCAAAAGGTTGATAATATTTGTTTGTTCATGCTCATTGAAGCTACATTGCTTTGTGAATTTGCGATGGTCTTTTTAGAGTCAGTCCAGGAGAGTCAAATATATATACAGCATATATATATCCATCACTGTAGCTAATTTTACTCGTGTGAAGCCAATTTAAAGCATGTCTAGTCATGAAAAGATTAATACTGTACACGCACAGTAGGGGAAACTGAAGAACATTTTAAACGCCTTCTGCAGCATAGAAAGAAAATAACTCCACATTATGTCAACATGAGATGAAAACTACACACCCCTACCTCAACGATATCGGGGGGAACAGTCTGATTTTATGTTATAAACTCCAGTGAAGTAATCCCATAATTACAACTATATTACCTAATTATAATTTTGTGTTACTAATAGACAACTGTTAAGCAAGGATTTAAAAGATTCAAAAGTGATACAGTGGCGTATTCTGAAGAGAAAAAAAAGTTTAGACCTGAAAATCAAATTAACACCCACACAGGGAGAGAGAGACAGGGAGGGAGAGAGAGAGAGGGAGAGCCAGCCGAGACGAAACAGCTGCATCTCGGAGCCAATCACTCATTTCCAAGCCTTCTGCTCTCTTATTTAAAGTAACATCAGCAAACACGCTCTACAGCTGTTGCGCGGCTTGGGTTACTTCTGTTCAACTTCACCTGAGGAAATGAGTTACAAGAATCAGGGGATTAATATAAGGGTTGTCTTGATAGGTATGTTGTTGTGTCAGGGGTTGTCCTGGACGTACAGGGAAGAACTTGATGATTCTGAAAGGTAAAGCCAATATGCTTTAATATGAATGAACTATTATTTATTTTCTGTAATGATTGATTTGTTGTATAATTGTGTTTTTTTTATAGTAGCGGTGTTAACGTTTTAGGTGTCTTTAAGTTAAAAAGGTCTTATTTCGTATTAAGAAAATTGTATATGATCTGTAAAAAACCTAAATTCTAAATCAACTCAATCCACTTCAGCCCGTACTTTAAATAACCGTTCTACAGTATGTACCTGTTGACTGTCGCGTTCTTTACAGTTGTTTACTAAATTATCTTCGTTTTCTATACAGAGAGGTCTGTTCTGAAAATAAAATTGCAACAACCAAGTACCCTTGCTTAAAGCCTACGGGAGAACTCACCACATGCTATAGGTACGTTTTTGATACGTTTTTAAAATTTAGATAAGAAGTCTGTCATGACATATTTCTTGCATTTCAGTTTTTTACTTTCACTAGTTGATTGTGATCTGAGACTAAAAATACAGAATACAGTTTAGATTTTTTTCCATAATCCTAGATTTACGTATTTTAATTTGACACGTGTTCTGAATATATGTTTTCCCAAGGTAACTGCTTTTCCTAGAAATAAAAAATTTCGCAATAATAAAAAATAGTACAGGAAAAAACCTTAATATTGCTGAGTAAAAGATCTTAATCTTTCAAGCGCTGTATTGCACAAATTATATCAGTGCGTTTCTTTAGTTACAGAAGTACAGTAGCCCATGTATTACATTTCCAGTATTACATCCATATTGTAGGTTCCACAGCGTTTTGGTGTTTAACACAAGTAATATAAAGCACGGCAGTTTTTTTTGGGGATTAATTAGTGTATGTGGCTTGGCAAGTCAAACGAAAATGTACCTATAAATTTACTTCAAATATTCTGTTCCTTTTATCTACCAAACCGCAAACGTGTGCAACACGAATGAATACAGAAGTGGTAGGTGATTGCAGAAGAGTTTTATCACTGTGGGATGTCACTGGAACTATTTGACGTCACCTCTGACATGATTATTTCGTGTGTGTGGCCACCGCAGATTTCTGTTACATCTTTGCTGCTAGACTGAAGAGCACTTGTTTTAATTATCGGAATAAATAAAGGCTCACCCCCTGTAGACTACATGTGCAAACGCAGGAGATGCATTCGGTACAACCTAATCTGTAGTTTATGCAAACTCCTAATTGTACTCTGATTCATGTTGCGATTTTGAAAGCAGTGAAAAGCATGAAATAATAATACGTCTGAGTAAATTACATTTAAGAATGCTCGTCAGCCAACAATTGAAAATGTAACATGAACATTGAAAATGCTCATGTTACAGTAGTTTAGAGAATCGGTACACAAAGAGACTCTGAGCCTCTGGTTCGTTTACTGTTGACATTCACATTAAAGTTAATTTATCCATGTAGAAATGAGGTAGAAAATTACTAACCCGATTTGAAAACACGCAAGAAACATTTTCTATGTAAAGATGTCTTTCAGCATGAAATGCATGAAAGCAAAGTTTAAGAAATGTTGTTTTTATAACATATGGATGTAACACTCATAATAATAATGTTGGTGAGCTGTAGTATGAACCTACTGTAAAATTAAATGGTCTGCTGGTTCCGCACTAGTTGCCCCAAGAGAGCTTCATTGGTTTCTACTATTGCGCAACTATAAACATGTTATTTTACAGAGGTATCATTTCATTACTATGCAGATTGCTTAGTCTTTCTTATTATTTATATGCAGATCTGTTTTTTTTACAGTACCGCAGATGGCAACTGCAAAAGCAGAAGCTTGCAAGATCAGAAAATGTTCTAGTAACCAAATTGACTGAACTGTATTGATATAAGCTCAGTCCCAGTCTAATGTTATGACACAACAATATAGCAATGAATATAGATCATTAACAATAAACCCTGTTCAACTTTAGTTATTTTAAATACTTTTCTACCCATGTTTGGTAATTTAAAATGAGTTATTTTCATAAACTGTCAGATCATTTTGTCATACAATTATAAAGCTGAGGGACCGCCATTCCACTATACAGTAATTCCACATGTTGCAGTATGATCAGGGTCTGAATGGTCATTGTAGTGTACTACTGAAGTGGACAGAAATCTTCCTTGCAACATGTTCTTCTGCATATTTCTATGGAACAAGGTGAATTATATATTGTCAAACAAGGACTATTTCTAAGATTGGTTTCTGTGTAGTTTTAGACCTCAGCACAAATAACTCAGATGGCTGCAGTCGCTTCCATGTGTTTATCATGGATTAAAGAAGTAGGAGAAATGCAGGCTCTTCATTAATAGTCTGCTCATTCTAGAGGTTCACTAGTATCCTGCAGTAGGTAATACCATCCAGGTGTACTGCATTACTTGATTTTAAGAAGTGCATTTTAATTCTTTTTTTGTGTCTGAAGAATGACGGGATAAGATCCAGATTTTTTAAAAGTATCTCCTTTGGTCTTCTTCCCTTTTAACAAGTCAAAACAAGTTCCGGTGGCTGTTTAGTTCTGCATCTTTAATGTCTGTGGTTAGGAGGAGGATATTCTGTGTATAATATGAGAATGTTTTAGAGTATTGTGTGTCTGTGTTATAGCAGAGAAAAAGAATATAGAAGGATCAAGACCTAAAGACTACTTAACGTGATTCAAAATTGTTTGTCTGAATTCTTCTGTTTATACAATGGTTGTTTCTTTAAGACTTAATCTGAAGTTGCTTCATGGAAGCCATTCAGCTTTGTAGTGGTTTATAAAACTATTTTTAAACATTTTTTAAGGAAAGGCATGCATCTTGGATTATTAGTTTTTTTTTTCTATGCATGTACTATAGTGTTGTACTGTACAGTATACAGTATTAGTAATCATTGTCTATAGATCACTACATTTTTATAGATTTTGCAGATAAAAAAATGGGCTTGCGGGGGTTATTTTAAATGTCATTATTTACTCATACAACCAAAACCTATTTGCAAATATATACTGTAGGTATGGTGGTTTGAATTGCATTCAGTTCCAGTGTTCACCAAAAATTAAGATTCAGTTGCAGAGAAAACAGAAATTCCAGTTCTTTGTCCCCATAAATCAGTCCCTCACTACAAAAAAGAGCATGCATGCAAAAGCAATTGACCTAGTGTTCCACTGTGAACTTCCATTGGCTTTCAGTCATAGAAATGATTAGTAAAGTAAGCCCAGTGTTCCTTCCTTGGCTTTTGCTGATGCTAAATTTGTTATTTGTTAAAGGTTAGGGATTAACCCACTACAGCCTTAATCCTATTACAGAACCAAACAACAATCCAAACACAGAAACCTTTCAAGATCGAAATATAAGCAGTGCAATGACAATGCCACACATTTTTGTGATGCAAGGTGAAGCACAGACCTTTAAATATACAGCACAATTTAATTCTTACTCTACATCACCATTTCCACCAGCCTGTAAGACCAAAGTATACAGAAATGCATGAAAAAAAAGGAAAATTGGATTCCTGAAATCTGCAGTTTGTACTTTGCAGAAGAGATGACAATCATCCTTGAAAACCAAGCATCTTATTTACAGTATATCATGTGTACAATACAACAAATAAATTGGGACAGAGAACAGAGAAGAGACAAAGAGATCTCCTTTCCTGAAACTGTGGCAATGCTATCCAAATGATATAGTATGTGAGTGGTTGCTATCTCACATACTGCAACATACAGTACTTACAGTTTCAACTCTTTGACCAACTGCTCGAAAGATTTATTGGATTTCAAAATTGTGCCCCAAGTATGAGCTTCTAGCCCCATATTGTTTAATATGAGGATTTCATTCTGTTTGCACTTGAAGCAAATGAAAATATGTCATTTTTGGAACAATGTTTTATTCAGTTTACTAAACCTTAAGTAGTTGTTCTCCGTATTGCTGACCTTATGAAATGGAGATAAGTGGCAGATTTGGCAGAGGGAGATTTTACATTAAGGTGACTTAATGTCAGATCACAATTCTTCTGATTTGTTGGAATTTTACATTTGAATTCCATAATAATACAAAGCAAGACCCTTACAAGTCATTTATCACAACATAATGTTGGCTCTGAAAATAATACAATGGAATGTGGTTTAATCCATTTTCAAACAAGTGTCTTGCTGCTTTAATACAAAAATAATTCTGTATGATTCTGAAAAAAATAGTTTTTCAGGAGTGCTAATGTTGTTTTGCCATCTTCATTATGGACTAAAAAAGCAAATGAAGTAATGCAGGTCTTCCATTTGTAATCTACTTACAGTACAGTCCACACATTGAAATCATATAGCAGGTAATGGTATACAGATTCAAGTACTCACTGAAATTCTACTACAACAACTCTAGGTGTTAGAAGTAGAGTGTCTTACTTTTATAACTGTATACTTTTACATTTTCTACGTTTGTGGGGACTATGAGAGAATCCTAAAATCCTGTGTCTGACTTGCACCTCTAAAAGATTAATTCACACAACAGACCCACATTGAAGTATGGCTATATTGAGAATTGCAGACTGCCGATTAAAAAAAAACAAGTGTCATGTTGCAGTGGAATGATAAGCCTTTAATTTTTAACGGACACTAATTTGTAAAGCAAATAAACAAGCTCAACCAAAGTAAGTGAATGAACTTTTTAGGGCACTGAGAGTGCAGGGGAGTCATGAGACCAGGAGACCATTTGGTCGTCTAGGCTCAACTAAGATGGATAATAGAGTCAGAACTATGGAAGCAAGAGAAATTCAGTACTAAAGCAAATCATTCCTTTTTTTTTCTCATGGGTAGAGAGCAAAATCACCCAGGGGCTGCTTCGTGTGTTTCACAATGACTCCTGCAGACCAGGATACTGAATGAGCAAGATTGTGAAGGTTATTGTACGTTAAATAGATATCTGCAATATTTCAAATTTTTCATATTATCAGAAATAGAAAGTCAATAGATGTAGATTGCATATATGAAAAAACTGCAGCCTCACAAGTAGCCTCCAAAGATGGTAAATAGGTATTTAATATAATTACCAACATTGATTTCCATCATTGTGTATCATTACACAGTGGGACAAGCAGAATGTCAAGCTCTGTTTCCACAAAGCATTTTGAAGTTGAATACAGCTGTATGGCACGTCTCCAGTAATGCTGGTAATCTTGGTGTTTATGTTTGATTGTCATGCTCCAGAGCAACGTGATATTCTGCAACAGTGTAAATGGACATGCCAGCTTCTATCATAGTCTAATAGTTGTTATCATAACTACTTCATCCCCTGCTTTGTATGATTTCAAAAGATACTGGTGCTGCTTTCTAGACACTGAACAAGCTTAAGAGTGGGTAAGTGTGTTTCCACCTCAGTATTCAATTTCATTGTGTGAACCTGGGTATGCTTAT